CCTCCCCGACCCCCTGGCGCTCACTTCCGCCCGGGCTGCGGCCGAATGGACGCGCCGGGCCGCAGCCGCCGCCGCCGCCGCCGCCGCCGCAGGCTCGGGTCGGGGTCGAGCGTGCGCGCTTGCTCCCTCGCTGTCGGGGCCGCGAGTCCCAGCGTCGCGCCGTAGAAGGGGCCCGAGAGTCGCCCTCAAGGTCACCGAGCTGTGGACGACCCCACGGTAGCCCAGGCTGGCCCCTCCCGGCCCCTGGGCGGGGAAGAGGCTGCAAAGTTTGCCCAACTCTCGGTTTCCCGCCTCTCTCCCCGCGCCGCGCGCGCGGGCTCGCGGCCCAGGCGACCTGGTGAGGCGTTCTGAGGACAGCGGCAGACGGGCGCCGGGTCGCGTCCACGCGAGGAAGGGAGAGCCCGGGCCGGCTTGGCTTGTGAGCCGAGCAGATGCCAGGAGGGCCGCCTGCAGCCTTTCGTTAGCGCTCTGCTCTGGCCGGCAGGCCGCGGGCTGCCCCTGGGCCTCTGCACGCGGACCCAGGGTGGCGGAGGAGAAACTGGGCTGGGCTAAGAGATCACGTCCCCGACCTACTGCGGAAATTTCGTTATTTCTGCTTCCAAGAAAATTTTAAAAAAAAAGGAAACTCAGTGTTTGAGGCACGTAGAACTAAGGCACATCTTAGTTCCCTCGCTGGCATGGGGTGGGAAGTCTTATGCCACAGGGAAGGTGCGGCCGTGCAGGCCACAGTTGTTAAACCAGTTTGTGTGGCGGCGTTTTATCTCCTTTCCTTCTGATTTTTTTTCCTCCTGAGTTAGACACAACAGACCTCTCTGTTCTCCCTGCCCCATGCCTGTAATCTCAGCACTTTTAGCAGGGAAGTTCAAGGTTACTGTCACACATTTAGTGAGCTCTAGACCAGAATGAACTTCAGGAGATCCTCTCTGAAAACAAAACGAACACATCTGATATATCTAAATGACTTGTCATAACTCTGCTCCAAAACTTTTTTGTTTATTAACCAAGCAGGGTAGGCAGTGGCTGTCTTTAATCTCAGCATTTAGGAGGTAGAAAGCAGGTGGATCTCTGTGAGTTTGAGGCCAGCCTCATCTACACAGTGAGTTCCAGAACACCCAGAGCTACATAGTGAGTCCTTGTCTCAAAAAAAAAGTAAAAAATTAAAAATAAAGAATATTTGTTGCTATTGTGTAGGTGTATGCATGAGAACAGAGGACAAGTTTGTTTTCTCCATCTTCAGAGTTTCTCTGTGTAGCTCAGGCTAGCCTAGAACTCGCTCTGTAGATCAGGCTGTCCTTGAACTCTGCCTCCTGAGTGCTGGGATTAAAGGCGTGTGCCATCATGCTCAGCAAGATTTAATATTTAAATATCATGATTGACTTAAAGTTTCAGTAAAGCAAAAACCTAATAGCATGAACCATAACAGCGCTTTCTTGACTACTGATTTAATCGAGGTATGTACTGAGAGGGTTAGCCATAAAAGGGATTATTCACAACAGTCTAAGGCCGAGTTAAGGGACCTCAGGGCCAGCAGGGTCACTCCCACAGACAGCTTTGGGCTCTATGGCACCAAGAAGGCAGCAGGGTCACCCAAACAGCAGGAGAGGAACTATAGAGGCTCGGATTCTGAGGAGTAGGGGACCAGGATCACACATCCACACTGCTCAACTCACAAGGCCAAGGGCTCTCCCCTGGGGACTCCAGCCCTTCCTAATCCCATCTCTTCACGGTAACTTCTTTCACACTACACCAGAGAAGCCCTCGGGCCTGAGATCTGGGTGATGCAACAGGCCTCCCAGGATACGAAGCAAAGCAGAGATGGCCAGGGAATTGGTCCAGGGCTGTACCGTCTCACGCAATAACCATTAAGCACCCGTGGCTCTTTGGTCTCAATTGAGATGTGCTGTAAATGTTAAAGGGAAAAAAAGGGAGGAAGAAAGAAAAGAAATGAAAAAACTTGATTTTTGAAGGCAGCAAGAAAAAAGATGTCTTAATTTTATACTGACTCCCTGCTAGAGGAAAAGAGGTTTGAGGGATGTTTTGTTGTTTTGAGGTTTATAGTTTAATTTTATTTTTGAGATAGGGTCTCACTGTGTAGCCCTGGCTGTCCCGGAACTCACTCTGTAGACCAGGCCGGCCTCACTCAGATCCCCCTGCCTCTGCCTCCCGAGTGCTGGGGTTAAAGGTGTGCACAAAGCCTGGCACAGCTTGGGTCTGGGCTCTTGCTTTTGGAAATCGGCCCTCGCTATATAGCCAGCCAGTCTGGGCTACGTGAGACCTTGTCTCAAAAGGTACAAATAAAAGAAAGTGAAAATGTCAACTGGATATTGATTGTAAGGGTTCGAAAAGCAGGAGAGCCTGTGCCAGGGCCACGGGCTTCACCATTTCCCTGGCTTCCGAGGTGTGCTGACACCCTCCTGATGAATCTTCCCACAGCAGCAAGTAGGACAGAGGCTCTCAGAAAACCATCTGAGGCCCCTGCGTGGACAGCAGGAGCCTGAGCAGCAAGCCCCAAATAACCAGCTGCCAGGTTGCCTTTTCCTATATTGGCTGGGCTTGATTTTTTTTTAATGAATTTGTTTTTCATGTGTGGGTATTTTGCTTACATGTCTCTGAAATGTGTGATTGACGTTTGTCGAAGCTCCTGGAAGTTACGGACAGCTGTGAGCTGCCGTGTTTGTGATGAGAATTGAACTGAGGTCCTCTGGAAGAACAGCCAGTGCTCTCAATAGCTGAGCCAGCTCTCGCACACCTAATTTTTTAAAAAGATTTATTTATTATTTATACAACATTCTGTCTGCACACCAGATCTCACTATAGATGGTTGTGAGCCACCATCACATGGGGTTGCTGGGAACTGAACTCAGGACCTTTGGAAGAACAGCTGGTGTTCTTAACCTCTGAGCCATCTCTCCAGCTTTTTTTTTTTTTAATTCTTGAGGGCCATTTCAGACAGAAGGGGAAGTGCTGCTGCACATCCCAGCTTACCTATAACTTGCAACACACTCTGAAGAGCCAAGGTTACGGATGTGAACAATCACATCAAGTTTGTTTTTAGTATTTTTTCATTTGTTATGTATACAGTTCTGCCTGCATGTACACCTGCACGACAGATCTCATTATGGATGGTTGTGAACCACCATGTGGTTGGTGGGAACTGAACTCAGGACCTCTGGAAAATCAACCAGTGCTCTTAACCTCTGAGCCATGTCTCCAACCCCAAAGCCTTTTTATTTGTTCTTAATTTTTTTAAGCCAGCCATGGTGGTGCACACCTTTAATCCCAGCACTTGGGAGGCAAGGCAGGTGAATATCTGTGAGTTTGAGGCCAGGCTGGTCTACAAAGCAGATCCAGGACAGCCAAGGTGACGTAGAAAAACCCTGTCTCGAAGAAAAAGCAGCCAGTGCTCTTAATCACTGAGCCATCTTTCCAGAACTTTATATTTGTGTGTGTGAGTGTATGTGTAACAAAGTTGGAATTTATTAAAATATGTATCAGGAGCATGGTGGGAGCTCCTCAGCTGAGAGTCACTCAGTCTTTTTATTTTAAAAAAAAAAAAAGAAAGAAATATATAATGCTGAGAAGGTGAATCTCCAAGTTTGAGAACATTTGAGGACAGCCTGATCTGCAAAGTGAGAATTTTTTTTTTTTTTTAAAGTTGAGCATGGTGGTACATGCCTTTGATCCCAGCACTTAGAAGGCAAAGTCAAAAAGGCAGGAGGAACGCTGTAAGTTTGAGGCCACAAAGCAAGTTTCAGGCTAGCTAGGGCTACATAATGAGCTCCTGTCTCAAAACAGACAAAACCGCCAACAAACCATGAAGTTCACCCATCACTACTGTCCACTTCCTCTCCTTTCACAGTTTGGAACTGAAACTCCGTAAGCATTAGGCAACAGCTCCCTCCCCCTCCTCTCTGCAGCCCCAGGCAGACGGTCTCCTGTGGTTTTTGACTGTAAAGTGCCTCGTGTTTGTGGACTCACTCAATGCCTGTCTTTATTTCCATATAGTATAGTCCCCAGGGCCCATCTGTGCTGGAGCACACTATATTTTTTTAACTGTTTTTTTTTTAAGATTTATTTATTATTTGTACAACATTCTGCCCATACACCAGATCACTATAGATGGTTGTGAGCCACCGTGTGGTTGCTGGGAATTGAACTCAGGAAGTTTGGAAGAACAGCGAGTGTTCTTAACCTCTGAGCCATCTCTCCAACCCCCACACTGTGCATTTTTACATGGTTTCCTTAAGCAGTGTTTGTTTTTGTTTTTCTTTTGGACCATGTTACAGAGTTGACAATCAACCGAAGATCTACTTAAATTAGGTACTTTGTCCAGACACTTGGATGTGTTGGGGGAGTAAAACAG